TTTTTTTTTTTTTTTAAGGGGATTTGTCTCTACATTTTCCTTTTAACTAAAGGTAATAATGTCGCCTCGAGCCAAACAAATTCAAATATTCATTCGAACATCTCCATCGAAAATCCAAACTACTTCCGTGTGTAGTCGACCATTACTTACAACTACAAAATAATCGCGGTTTGAAGAAGCCTCCCACATCGCTTCCAATAAAGCCCGTCGCCTTTGTCGTTGGGCCGTCGCGTGGTGCCCAAGTACAAATGTAGCATCGCTCTAGACTGAATTTGAGCCAATGAATACTTATCATGAATAACATGTGATAATTTTCACTTTTCTTATGGAACTATACTTAAATATTTTTGCTAAATTACAAATTTAATCCTATTAGATTATGAAAGTACAAATTTAGGTCCCACCGAACTGATAGATAGTATTTTAAGTCTTGTAACTTTATTTTTTGCTGCATTTTCAGTCCTTCGCCGCCAAAATTCTTAAGCAATGTATTGGGGATGAATTTCTTTTAGCAATTTAAGTCATGTAATTTAAAATTTTGTTGCAATTTCAATTCTTTTGACCATCAAGATTGGGAATTTCAAATGTCAAATGACTGAAATTGCAGCAAAAATTAAAATAACATGACTTATTTAATATATGTCACTCTAGTGAGACGTGAAAAGCTACATTCATAATTTAATAGGACTAAATTTACAATTTAACTAAAATATTTATGTCAACCAACCCATTGTTGAGTTTGTGCTCTAATTTTGGTATCATTTTTCAATATGACCTTATGAATTAAGATCAAAGAACGAGAGAGTATAACCGCAGCAAAGAGAGGAGAGAAGAAATTGAGAACAGGCGTAGGAGAACCCAAACGCGGAAGAAAGTTGTACTCGCACATGGAGAGAGGATAATTTTTGTCTCTTCTTTTATTTATTTATTTATTATGTTAGAATAGTATTTTTATTTCTAGTTTTGAGGATGTCTAGCTATACATACTTCATGTTTAATTGATTACAAAGATTAAATATTTTGCTATTTATATGAATAAGCTTGTGTTATTTTATTTGATAAACAATTATATTTTTAATTTTATTTAGATTGATCACCTAGATAAGATTTTTCATGTCTAACTCTAGACATGAACTTGCGACCCACAATCGTTGTCGAGTTCGATTATGTAGTAGCAAATGATAGACGTAAATTATTGGGAATGACACAATCTAATTAAGTAGGTCACAAAGCCACTACTGCATTAAATCTAGAGTGCGTATTCTACACTATTGATTGCGCTTCGCTACATGAAAAACTATAATTTATATTTTTTTTCTCGGCAGACCTCCACTAACTAGTAGTAGCTTTAAGTAATGGTCGACCACACAAATTTGAATCAAACCGTGATTATTTTGTATTAATTTAAATTGTTAAAGCAATGGGGGAAAATATTAACTACAAGTGCAATCTTGTGATTGTTCCATCTTATCATACATTTTCATGATTGGCAAATAACAAAGGTACTATGTGATTCAATATCTTATTGAAAGCCTATCAAAGACTGCAATTAGTGTTAATAGTGAAATATTTGTTATACATTGATATAATATAGAGAGCTCTGTCCTGAATCGGGGCTCTTGCATAGCTCAGTTCTAGACTGAGGCTCTTTTAGCTTGACTTAGTCCGATAGATCGACGTAGGTCCCTAACAACAAAAGGTTGAGTTATCTACTTGTGGTCTAGGTGGCCTGAGACCTTGGGTAGCGAGCTGGTACAAGACAAAACATCTAGCTCCATAGGATGACTTCGGGTCAACCTAGTGATCTGGTAGAATTGTTAACCACGTGACAACTAATGAAGGTATTAAGAGAATGTTATGAATATAGAATAGATAGAAGGAGATATGTTACAACAAGGTATGTGCATGTCTTGTTTTCTTAAGGGAGTAGAGCTCTTGGGAAATAAGGTAACTACTTTTTTTCATAAAAAAAAGATATGGTTACTATTATGTTACGATATGTTTATTATCATACCCTTATTATACATGAAAGAGGGACTTAACTGATTGTCGGAGGCTCTACATTGATAATCCTCTCAAGTTGTTTTCAAGTACTCAGGCGAGAAGGTCAAATAATATTCGGAGATCCAAAAAAGAACTGGTAATCTAAACCGGGTTTATTTCATAGATCTCTATCAAATTAGCGTCGGTTGTGGGAAACTAAGTTCTACTACGATTTAAATAGAACTTTATTTCTTTAGTAACCATACTAAGCCATCGACGACAACAATGGCAGAGAAAAAAAGAAACTAACACAATGAAAGGTTGCGATGACACTTGGCTAATGAAACGACCTTTGGGGTCAGGTCCACCTCCTGGATGGCTTGCTAAAATTGAATCACCAAGAAATCCAGTTATCAAGATACCCTATCCTCATGAACGCCAGTACGAACCCCAATCATACATGGGTTGGGCCACTACAGGGGTGCACGTTGCTAAGCTCTGTACCCCTGTGGCCTGAGCTCCCATGGTGGCGTGCGAGCTATTAGTGTTTTTATTCCCCTGTAAGCTCGCTGAAGAGACCGTGTGGCTGCTTATTTTATCTACAAAAATAAACATGGGTTGAGAGATTGTTCCCAGAAGCTACAACCATGATTTAGTGGTTAATAATGTTAGTACCTAGGTCATCGGTTAGGGGTGTGTTCACCAAGGTTAACCTCATGCGAAATAGAAGACTCGCGTATGCGACGAGCTTGTTGGTGTCAAAGAGGACCTGGTTCTACTGCTCGATAAGACAATTTCATCTTTGGTTGACGTGATGTTTATTCCTATGGCCTGAGAGGTCGCACAACCACTCTTATTAGAAATTAAGTTCGTCGAGTGGGAGTTGGAGATACAAAATATGATTTTTTTTTTCTAGCCGAGAGAGAATGTGTTTCAGGAAAGCAACTTTGTTATGACCTATGAGGTAGTGCAACCCTTTTCACATTTCATACCATAGTAGCGGAAGAAGAAGTCAGGTTCGAGCTCCCCCTATTGAACACGGCCAAGGATTGTAATGAATACCATAAGACGAATTTCATCAAGGGAAAATCTATTTACTGGGAGGCAATATAGATTGCTTAGATAAATGAGGTCGGCTTGGATAAAGAAACACATACCGCTGTGGTTCTAGTCCCTGAAAAATGTATAACAGTCTTAAGGGGATATGTCAAAAAAGTTAGTGGATAGTAGAAGTACGAGCTTATAAGAATGTGGGAGCTCGTAGAAGATTTTAAAGTTTTGATTTGGCTGGAGGTCTCACAAGCGAATGGGTTGAGCATACCGGAATTCTCCATTTGGTCAGAGGCTAGCTAGAGACAGAGTGTTGGATCTGGTTGGGCTTTGGACATCGTAGGAGGCCGACGAGTGTGTTTCAATCCGATTCTTTAGCTTAAGCCAGCTGATCTCACCCTCAGGTTCGTCTATTAGCTCGAAGTGGAGGGTTTTGGCCAGAGGTTCAGAAGACAAGTCTAAGATCACGATGAAAAAAAAGGTGTCAGAGCTTAGCTTGTTTTGATTTATGCTACAGTTGGAAAGTGAGTCGTGAGACATGGTTTTGTTGAAGGAAAACGAATAAACGACAGAGTGGGGCTCGACTATGAGAAAGGATAAAGTAGGTTTTGACTAGGGCCACAAACGAGTCGAGCAGCTCGCGAGCCGCTCGCGAGCGCTCGAGTCAAAGCTCGACTCGAGCTCGAGTTTGACCAAACTCGATTCGAGCTCGAGCAGTTCGAGCACGAACTCGAGTCAAGCTCGAGCCCATATTTTACATTGTCGAGCGGTTTCACGAGCGGCTCGAGATATATGAAATTACTAAAATACCTTTATATATGTATTTAATGGTTATTTTACAAAATTGCATGAAAAAATTCGAACAGAACTCAAGCCGGGCTCGAGCATTTTAAATTCGAGTCGAGCTCGAGCTCTTGTACTTTTTTATCGAGTCGAGCTCGACAAGCTCGAGCTCGAGCAGCTAAAAAAAATTCAATCCTGCTCGATAAGGCTAATGCTCGACTCAGCTCGGCTCGTTTGTAGCCCTAGTTTTGACTAAGGTCGATGGAAAACAGAGAAGAGAGAAAGTCAAAAAGAACATACACATGCATTGTTGTAGGATGGCTCGAACGAGGCTATTGTAAATAAGGGGGATGGAGAAATGCATAAGTTGTTTGTGCATAGGTGCTTGAGGATGATGAAGCTTTCTATAATCTATAGGATACAATCGGGTAGGTCAGAGGTCAGATGGTTGAGGACCGTTTGATATGTGGTTACACTTTCAAATTCAATGATGAGTTATCCGTGCCTCATTATGTGAAGAGGTAGGTACTTAAGAGTTTTTTTTTTTTTTTT